TTCTGAAGCTGCCACTAGCCTTTTGTTATTCTCCACTGAATACAGTCAGATCATATTTGCGGACAAGAGGGTAAAGAAAAACACCGGGAATTATGTCTTGTTTCTGTGTTTTTTTTTGTTGTTCATTAGGTCACATTCTCTCTGCAGTTGTTTTCTTTTCGGTGGTCAATGATTCTAGGCAAACCAAATGATCCCCTAGATGCGGCAGTTCACCAATCTTTGGTTTCATCATTTTTGGCCCTTTCCACAACAAGTTTGATGTTTTTCTGGGTTCATGTCACTTTTTCTGGCACTGTAGTATTGTATTGTTGTTACTTGGTTTAAGCTATAGTTCAGGAAATGTTTGGCTTCAACCTCTCTGACAAAGTTTCAACTGATCTCTCACCTGGCTAATCTAAATATCTTTATCATGTGGGCAGGCATTAGATCATGTAATTGCCGAAGCTAGGAAGCATGGTATAAGGTTGCTTCTTAGCCTGGTCAATAACCTGCAAGCATACGGAGGCAAGACTCAGTATGTCAAGTGGGCATGGCAGGAAGGTGTTGGCCTGAGCTCGTCTAATGATTCATTCTTCTTCGACCCTTCTATCCGTAGATACTTCAAGAATTATTTGACGGTATAGTTTTACCTGGTTTCTTTAAATTCTATCTTGATCTGTTCTTGATTTGCATATGAATTAGCCCAAGGAGATAGAGATCTGAAACATAGTGTCAGAAGTGAAAAAGATGCCTTGACATACAATCTTTAACTGTTACTTCGTGTGAGAAGCAACTATGTAAACGTAGATGATCCAATTTTTTTTATCATGAGTTGATTGCTTCAGAATCAAAAGGGGACAATTAACAGCCTGCTTGGAAACACCTCGAACTTTTTTCAATGTTGGTTTGACTACCGCATGGAAAGGACAGAGTCAAGATAGTGAGAACATGTAACATTATCAGTCATGGACCTGGAAATTTCATGACCAACTAAGTGCTGTAGCATTGCTTTTGTCACTTGCATACAGCGAGAAGACTTCCTTGTGTTTCTTTTCATTTTTTCTTTGAACATGATCCTCTAGGTTTAAAAGTTCCAGTTCCGAGGGTAGATTGTGGAAGTGGATTTGGGTTCCTACGAGATTTTGTTTGTTCAATACAGGGATAACAGCGAGAGTTCCTTGCTTATGCCCCATAAATTTGCATATTATTAGTTTTTTCGGTCAGATTAATGTGTAGTTAGTACATTTTGTTTACATTTTCCAGACTCTGCTCAACCGCAAAAACACTGAAACTGGAATTGAGTACAGGGATGACCCCACCATCTTTGCTTGGGAGCTGATAAATGAACCTCGCTGCATGTCTGATGTATCTGGAAACACACTCCAAGTCAGTTCTCCACGAACTTCAGTTTATTTGTCTGCTTGAATGATTCATTTGTTTAATTGTTTCTTTTACAGTAACTCATCATTTGGATGAGTGGATTCTTGTGCTGTTATCAACGTTCTCTTTTGTTTTCATGGGATCACAGGACTGGATAGACGAAATGTCAGCATTCATAAAATCGATTGACAGCAAACATCTTCTGACTGTAGGCCTGGAAGGGTTCTATGGTCCCGATAACCCCAAACGGCTGACTGTGAACCCGGAAAGGTGGGCGTCTGAGCTCGGCTCAGATTTCGTCCGGAACTCTGCTTCGAGTAACATCGATTTCGCATCAGTTCACATCTATCCTGATCACTGGTAAGTGCCCCGCTGTTGAAAACAATGAAAAATTTGATTGCTGAATCTTTAGGTGTGGAGCGAAGGATGTTTTTCTTCAAAGATTGAAGCTTTTACCCGTACGCCATATAGAGAAGGCCGTAGTTTTGATTTCTGTAGATCACTGAATGTTATTAGACCCTGAAATTTAGCAAATAGGTTCCTCTGTGTATAAGAGGTATTTGGTCACAGGAGCTGAACTTTCAGCCATGGAAGGCTTAGTTAGTTGGCTTATTTTTTAGACGGATACAATGCTGAGAAAACCCTCTTAACTTTCTGCAAGTCTATTCGACCCGAAATAAACAAACCCAAGACGAAATTAGGCTGAATTCTCAATGTTCTTTGTTGTCATGTGAAAAAAAATGTGAGCAGGTTTCATGATAAGGGTTTCGAAGAGAATCTGAAATTCGTGAAGAAGTGGATGATGTCTCACATAGAAGACGGGGACAAGGTACTGAAGAAGCCAGTTGTGTTCACGGAGTTTGGGCTGTCGAACCTGAACAAGGACTACGAGCCGTCCCAAAGGGACAGGTTTTACAGGGAAATCTTCGATGTGATCTACAAGTGCTCAAAGCGAAATCGGACATCGTCGTCGGCTGCAGGCACTTTGGTCTGGCAGCTGTTGATGGAAGGGATGGATGGGTTCAACGACGACTTTGGGATTGTGCCGTGGGAAAGGGAATCCATTCACAGGCTGATGATCGAGCAGTCTTGCCGGTTGGGGCGTCATCGGATGGATAAGAAGTTGGAACAAGTGTGTTCTCGTGGACAATGAGACAAGTAAAAGAACGCCGTTTCTTTTATCTGAATGTTGTGGATACTTACGTATTTTATACGGAGTTGTTGTTGCGATAAAGCACAAAACGCCCACGACACAGCAGAGTAGGATTCACTTCACATCACCGAATCGAAACAAGTCATTGTGAGCTTTATGGGGATCTCTTAAGCATGTCCCATACTCATCGTGAGCTATATTGTATTCTTTATCAAAGCAAGATATTTAAGATAATAAAAGTTTTTTTTTTTTTACAAAATGGAAAAGGGAGAACAAGCAGAGAATGGGAGAGGGAATGCTCCTCTATTTACACACATAAATGCATATGATGATGATGCCCTAAACACAATCTAAACATCCAACTCAGGATTTGTGTACTTACATTACATGTCCACACGGTAGAATCGGATTCGTTTCAAGGCTGACACCCTTTCCTGCAACCCCCACAACCCCACCCATGCTTGTTGTTAGTACATTTAACTCTTCTTCCTTTCTCTCTTCACACCAAAATAAAAGCTTCATAAACAAAAAAAGGGAATCAGGCAAATGAAAAGTACTATTATTAATACAATACCTGACCGGATTCTTCAGTCTGCTCAGGGAAACACAAACCCGTCGAGCAGTTGCGCAGCTTCTCTGGATCTTTCACCCACGCCTTCCTTCCTTCGCCCACTTTTATCTGAAACCTCCACATCTACCATCCACGAACAACAAAATACATCATCATCATCATCATCATCCCATTTCTCAGTCTCTTATTCATAGCACAATCTCTAGAGGATGCATAACAGAGATGGTCTGTTGCAAACCTGCGAGAGCGGAAACGTATCTCTCTCAAGGTCACCCCCTTCGATATCCACACCCGTTCCCTGGCATTCTGGACAGAACACCGAAAATATTTCCGAAATAACCCCGTTAGCCTCTTCTCCTTTTCCCATCTGATTCCGCTTCCTGCTGCTCTGTTTTCTGCATCTCTTTTTTCCTTTTGGACTGGCTGTGGTAAATATTTCTCTCTCACAGAAGAGAAACCAGTGTATCACACAAGATGCATGAAAGAGGTGGAACGCCTGCACAGAGGGAGTTATTCCATTGGAGAATTTCAGTGAAACCAGTCACAAATGAAAGTGGGGAGCTTTCTCATACACGCTACATTCCGAGGAAACATAGGATATGCAAGATTCTATCCATCAAATTCCTACTACTTCGCACAAGATTACTCCTATTCAAACATAGAAAGCAATCACATCTAAGACCGTAGACTTGGGATTGCAGGGCATTCAGAAGTTTAACTAGAAATATATTAAAAGATAAAGAGATTTTACCCCGTGAATGTTTCTGCTGCTGCATGCAAGATTTCCTGTCGTCAGATTTAGTATCGCTGCTGCATCTTTCCCTGGAAGCATCTTTTGCTTGCAGATTTCACATATCCGCCCAGCAAAAATTTGTTGTTGCCTCCTAAGCTCTCTTCTTATGGTTTTGTTCTTAATGACTCTTTGGTGCAGAAGATGATCATCATACTGAGCCGTCAGTGCTTTTGAAGAATTAGCATTAGGAGCTGAAGAAACCTCTTCAGAAGAATCATACTGATTACACAGAGAATCACTGGTGTCCTCTGGATCAGAAAAGGATTTCTTTCTCTTCCTGGCTTTATCCTCACCATTCTCTGATTCAGCTGACTGGAAAGACGTGAGTAGGCAGCTAGGATCTTCAAACAAACCCAATCTACCCAAATTGTAAAAGTACGAGAATGTGACAATAGCAAAGTCATGCTCAGGAACCGCGGCCTTCTCCTCCTCATCTGAAAGATCCTCTTTCCCTAACCACTCACACCATATTTTGCCGATCTGA